ATGTTATAGTTTTTATATATTTTCAAATATATAATTTATTATTATATATTTTATTATTATATTATTCTAGCAGCATGGCCCGGGGTTGTCCGTGTTTGATTCAAAAATTGTGCGACCCATACAGCAATCGCTATCACTTGACTTAAAATATTTTTGCCCTTCCTTGCCTTTAAAGGGGTGCCCTTTGCCGTGCTGATGTTGCTACATACCTTACTTCTTGCCTATCTCACACTGCGAATTTTTTCTAAGCTCTATACTAAACATTAAATCTGTTACGAAAAAAGAACTAAACAAAATGAACACAAAACGATCAGCTTTAAAAAAAGGACTCGTAATTGGAAAAATCGAATGAAAAAAGAATGTTAACAACAAATACTTTTTCACACCCAACCCACTTCTGCGGAATCAGAATCAACGTTGAGTTTAAGTAAGCGAATGAGCCAACTGGAGTAAAGTGCCATGCAGATTTAAATTTTTCCCACTTGTGACGAAAGCAGCTATCGATTTTTTGCATGCTAGCATGCTAGCTAACATTCGTGTCAGTCAGCTGTTGGCTCTCACGCTGGCCAATAGAATCTTCCTGCCTATTTGTGGCAGCCAGCTATAGTCTCTCACTCTGGCCAGTAGAAAATGGCAGCAAACTACATGAAAACTGCCGTAGAAGCATGAAAAATCGATTATTTCCACTATCGATGGGAGTTGGTAAATGCAAAGTCAGTCTTGGCCTTCCTGCTAACTTGGAGCATGTGCATGTAAATTTTGGTGCAAATCCGCCGAAAATTGCGGCCGTGCATCCGTTACACACACACATACGCACATCCTGCCTTTTATAGATAGAGATAATTGTGTATATATATATATATATATATATATATATATATATATATATATATATATATATACAAATTATTATATATATACAAACATACAAATGATTATTTTATTGTATATTAATTATATCATATTTTTATATTATTTTATTATAGTTTATAATTATTATATTATATTATAATATATATTATATTAATATATAATTATTATATTAATTATTATATATTATTATATTACATTGTTAATATATCTTATTACTATATGAGACCGTGAACTTTGCATCTTGCGTGTTTGCCAGAAGTCATATATAGAGAGTGGGGGGAAAGATATAAACAAGTCATATAGAGAGAGTTGGGAAAAAGAAAGATGTAAATTTATTATCGTGTAGGAAGTTGGGGATGGAGACGGTTTTCTTACGAGAAAGTATGTAAGTCACACGAAATCCGGCCCCAAACAGGATACGTACAGCTGTCACAAGGACTCTCGCTTGTGAACTTCACGACCTCATGCTAAAAGCGACAGCTCTGATAAAATTCAAAGAGACAGCTTCAAACTACGTCATTACTGTCCACAGTAAGAAACAAATTCTTCTCTTGTATTCTTTTTACTATGAACCACGCACACACACATGTTGACGTTTTCACACAAACACACATATAACAACATTTTATTGTTTCTCACATACGTACACAAAGAGAATTATATTTTATTTTAGAATTTTATTAACTCAAGCAAAAAGACATTACATTCCAATCTATGACCAATTGCTTGTATTCTTATCGTTATATTAATGTTCATTTGTTGAAATTACCTTGTCTTTTCTACTGAATTTTATTCTTTCAATGAAAATCGTTTGATTATTCTAAACGGCCGAATTAGGCGCAGTCCCGCAACAATTATGTTATTGAATCCCAATAACACTTCGAATTTTAACATTGCAAGCTCTTATTGTTCAATTTTCTTCAAAGAGACAATTTTTTTAATGTTGAATGCAACTTCAATAACTGCAAATAAATGTATTTTTAAAATATCTCTACTTTCACAGACTCTTCAGGAAACTAAATCTAACCAGTGAACACAACAAGGCTGACCCAACGTGTCACAGATGGTCTAGTATTTTTATAAATATAAATATTATATATTTATATTTTTATATTATATATTTATATATATGTATATATTTCTATATATGTTTCTATATATTTCTATATAGTTTAATATATAGTTTCTATATATGTTTTGATTTCTATATATTTTGAAGTAGTATTACTATTTCTAGTACTATTTTAGTAACATTTCTTTCATCATTATATCAGTTGTTATTCCTCGCAACTGCCCAAAACCTGTCTCTCATGTTTTTGTCTCTGGAAACCAGATTTTCTCAGTCAATTCTTTCCTTCGTTTGAACTATACAGTTTGTACGATAAGCCGATCGATTATAAACATATTATTTTTCAACATTCTTGTGGTGCTATTTTTGTTATTATCTATTATACACACTCTGAGGAAGAATAATATTTCTATTCTAGGAAGCAATGTCAACCATTATTTATTTTTATTTTTGTGTTTCTTTCATTTTAATTTTGGCTGCTTTCTTCGCAACTTCCCAGATCGCTAGTCTTCAGACATTAGTGAAAAGTAACTATAGTTATACCGAAAAAAATATTAGTTAAAACATTACTAATGCCACATTTAGCCTCATAAGTTAAATTTCCACGTTTGATGAATAATTTAACCTTTTATCTTTGAGAATGTAATAATAAAAATAAATAAAACTAAAAAAGAATAAAAAACAAAAGCAAAAACAAGCAATGATGAATCCCCACCAAAAAAAAACAAGCAAAAAAAAAAACAACAAAAAACAAAAAACAAAAAAAACGGTTGTTACTTGAAGCGTAACTCCAGTCTCCCAATAGATATTTATCTCGTGTTTCCTGTTTAGGATTGGGTTTCTCATTCCTTCTAAAATATTTTTCATTCTCTTTCACTCCCAGTAGCCCGTTGCGTCTTAGTGGCATTATCGCCTTACTTTGGTTGAATTGATAAAAAATAGTCACTGAATAACTTCAACTTATCTCCAATAACTGATCGCCTAATATGCCACAAACGCCAACGAGTTATACAACCTGACCTTTAACCGAACAGGCGGAAACATCACAGTTGCAGTCTTTATTCAATATTTGTTTTAATTAAAAATGTTAATTTTTAAAATTGAAAAGGTTAAAATTTTATTTAAATCTTTTTTTAAAATCTTTTAAATAAACTTGAAAATAAACTTTTGATTGCTTTTGAAATTTCGCTTCAAAATTAAATTTTCACAATTTGACTAGTTAGTGTATATATATATATATATATATATATATATATATATATATATATATATATATGTGTGTGTGTGTCTGTGTATGTGTGTGTGTGTGTGAAAATATATAGAAAATAGGAATTACGCATATTATTAAAAATAATTAATTTTATTCTTTATGTTTTTCAATGTTAAATATTCTCGATGTGAAACATTCTCTGTTTTTGTGTTAGTAATCCGAATGTCTTTCTTGAATTGAAAAACATAAAGAAAAACATTAATTATTTTTAATAATATGTGGAAATCTCCGCCTTTTACCTGAAGACGGTCGCGAGACCAGAAACACGTGTAGTAAAATTATGGAAAATAAAGCATAATATTTAAAAAAAAAATCCACATTACAACCAAAAACGTTTGCGGCACATCTCTTCTCTTTTTTAATATACACACCTTTCTCTCGTTGAACTACTATAACCTTTTTTTTTTATATATATATATATATATATATATATATATATATATATATATATATATATATATATATGCAGCTGATTTAGTAAAAAAAATATCACTGTACCATTACTAATTCCACCATCCCCCATACTATATAAATAGTTGAATAGAAATATTGAAATAAACTAAGTTCATGATTGTTTTTTTTTTTGTCTATGGTTTTATTTAATTGATATTTAAATGTATGCCCTTAAATATTTTTGCTAAGTGTGCCGTGATATTTTCAATTGCTCCGAGGTGTGCCGTTGAAAAACATTGGACTAAGAGGTAACATCACAGTAATAAGGTACATGGTTTTTATTCAATTATCCAAAACTTAAGTTTTTAATTATAAATGTTGGAATTGTAGTGAAAAAATCGACTTTTCATTGTTTTTGTACTTTAGTCTTATAATTTAAGTTTGCACGTTTGATGAATAATTCAAGCTTTTATCTTTGAGAATATAATAATGAGAATAAAAAAGATTAAAAACACACACACACACACACACACACACACACACACACACACACACACATATATATATATATATATATATATATATATCGAACGCATTTAAAAACATTTTATTTCAATCTACTTCCATCATTCTGATACACATTTCAGCAAATCATTTCTTTTTCCGACATTTTTATATGAATAAAAACTAAGCTGGTATCAATATTTATCAGTAACTAAAGAAAAAGAAAGCAACAATTGTTAAATAAATGGCAAACATTTTTTTTTTTTTAAAAAAAAGGTTATTTGAAAGGTTCTAATGGAAAATGAGTGTAAAAATTGATCCATGCCTGTTAAATGTTTCAGAGGGAAAAGCCCATTACCACGCCCAAAATGAAAAAAAAAAAAAAAAAAACATATCGTAAAACAAAAATCAATATATGAATAAGCGTCGAACTACTGAAAAAATTGCCAAACACTGTAATGGGTCATTTTGAAAGTAGAAACTACTTTTTATTTTGACGTTAGGAATTATTTTTGTTGTTGCTGATTATTGAAATAACTACGCATTTTCTTCAAGCACAAAAACACGAATAGGGGCAAAAAGCTAGGATTTCGAATTACTTTTTTTTTTAGTCCGCTAAGTCCTTGCAACCTGAGTCAATACAATCTTCGTACTAAATTTATTCTGTATAGATCTGAGTTATACGAAATTTTACTTACTAAATAAAAACTAGTTTCATCTTCTTTTGTGCCATGTAACTTTTCCAGGATGTGAACGATCATGGCTCTCCACAATTTCCTATTCTTAGTACCTCTAAGCAATACATATCCGTCTACGACAAATGCCTGTTCTGCTATCCATTTAGACAAACTCGTTATTCGCTGTTTCCCGCTACTATTTCTTCGGATTAAAGCCATATCATTTTGAAACACTAGCTCCCGGACGATCACCGATTTTAAGCAACGTTGAACCTGGTCAGTACTTAGATGGGTGACCACTTGGGAATATCAGGTATTGTAAGCTTCTATGTGTGGGTGGTGGAATGGAGAATGGCTCGCACTTGTTAATAGGAGAGCCGAGTTCCAATTCCCGTTTCTCAATTCTTTATATTCACTTAGGGGCAAAATACCTTTGGGAAACGTATGAAGCCTCCTCTTCTCCCCACTAACTATGGGTTCATTTGTAAAAGTTCTGTCGCTAAATCATTATTATCCACCCCACCCCCCCGCGCCAAAAATAAAAACTGGCAATCCAAAAATATTTTTGGTTTGAAATAACCTGCAAATGTTTGACAAGCTGTAGAAAATGAATCAATCAGCAATTAACTACGTTTTGTGAATATTAAATTTTTCAAGCCGCCCAGAAATTTTTAACGGTCTCTGTTGATTTTTACATATGTGTACCCTTCTAAATATATTTTTTCTTTAGAACTTTTCTTTTAGAGGTTTATTCTCAGCCCATTACTGTACAACCACCTATCTGTCATCTGAAGTCTTTTCTGCGTCTGCAAAGAAAAATGTTTACCATTCACTGCGATATATAAGAGTTCGAACCTGACTATAGTCAATTTGTTAGGAAGGTGACTTCTTGATGTTAACGGTCTTGGGGAGGCGATCCCAGCTAGCGGCATCTTTAGAAAGTGTCTGAAAACCATACAAAGGATTGACCCCTCCCTTGTGGTTAAAATTGGGTAGACGGAACTCTTGGGAAGCTGCCGGTGGTTGAGTCATCTTGATCAAGGGTTTGAGCATGCTGGGCTTGTTCAGACTTGATCACGCTAGATAATACGCTCTCTCCTAGAAACTGTAACGAAAATCCGCCCAGAATAGTTGCAGTAGAAAACAGAAGTGGGCTCTGTGGTTGCTGAACAAACACAAATGTTCCTGAGCACGCGTCTGTCACAGGGATTGACTAGCCACCCTAGTATACAGGCATCTTCGATACATGTGGCCAATCATAAGATAAGACATAGATATTATATAGCCATTCAGTGCGTTTTTCTTCCTTACATCCGCTAAATATATAGATTAACGTAGTTTTACATATTTTCTTATAACGTAAATTGAAAGTACACATTTTGATTGATCAGGTTCCTAGTAAGGATTTTGATCTCCCAAAAATATATGAAGCTATTCTCTGATAGAATGAGACATTGTATAATATTTCACGAATTATAGAGGTCACTGGTGGCTCTTTCCCGAAAAATTCCTCATCTTCCTCTCTTCAATCATTTTGAAGTATTGTAATCTGCTGCTGATGAAGTAAAATGCGTTGCTCGGAAATTCTCTTCCAATTACACTCTCGACTCTTTAGTAGTGTCTTTGACTGATTTTTCTCCTAGAACGGAATCTGTACTGATTGATATAAACTCCGTCCTTGGCTTCTGCTATTATCTTCAAATCAGATACCAATAAGACTTGCACATTTGACGTATCCCTGGAATTGTCTTAAGATAATGTGTTCCTGAACTAGCTCTTGTTCTCTACAAAATCTATAATAAACGCATCACTGCTTCTTGCTTTCCTGATTGCTGGAGATCCACTTTTGTTGCTCCTGTCTCTGGTGAACCTTCTGATTCCTCAAATTATCGTCTAATTATCGTTTCTATTTTTTGGCAATGTACAAGAAGCTCTAATCAACTCTGAAATGAGTAAGCATCTTACTTCACACAGCCTTCTTTCAATGTGGTTTTCGTTTCTGTCGGTCAGGCGCCGACGGGTTATTACTGAATTTCTCTATCAAATTTTAGATAGGCTTGGATTGTGGCTTTAGATATCTCGAAGACAATTGACAGTGTTTGGCATGCTGACCTTCTCTACTAGCTCAAGGGCTATGTGGTATCTCTGTCCGGATATTTGACTTAATCAAATTATTATTAACATATCGAGTAATGAAGCTAATGAGAATGTCCACTCTTCTAGATCATTTCCCAATTGATGCGGAGGTCCACCAGGATTCATCCATGAACCTACATTGTTTCTTATTTTCATCAACGACGTTCATAATATCATCAGTTCCCAACTCGGTATTATATGTATGCTGGTGGCACGACTGTTTACTCCGATAGGTCCAGCAAAAACCGGCAGTTGTTCTCGAAATGACCTCAAATCAGTTGTTAACTAGGGCAAGAAATGGCTTGTAAATCTTATGCCACCAAAACGAAACGACTGTCTTTTACTCGTTGTAGAGAACCGTTTTTGCCAGACATTAGCATAGCTGATGTTAAACTATAGAGAAACAACGTTTAACACTGAAATGAAGTGGAGTGATTATATTGAATCAATTGCTACATCTGCTGCTAGGAGAATTTATTCACTGTGTCATGTCGGAAATTTTTTCATGTCAGGATCCATACTGCGCATTTTTATTTAACATTCGTCTGTGCATTGAATATTGCTGTCATATCTGGTTTGGTGCTCATACTATATATCTCAAGATTTTCCACAATATCCAAAGAAGAGTTTGCAATGTAATCGACCCTGACCTGGCATCTCGACTTCAATCACTTTTTTTCCGCCGTGACGTGGCTTCACTATCTCTTTTCTATGAATATTTTCATGGCAGTTGTTCTGCCTGCACTTTCACAAACCAATCACGACATGTATTGTTTCTAACCGAATCATTTCCACAGGAATCGTCAATTATGATCGCTTCTCCCGCAGTTTTGGTCTGCTTTTTTTTAGCGACATATCAACATCTGCGGGTTTATTTAATGCCGAAATCTATTTAATTTGAACGCAATTGTATGGCTTCAGCTACAGATAAAATGTATTTTTGGTCATTTTACTATAAATATGTATTGCTGGTACTTTTTATGCAAAAAAGTATCGCTGGTATTTTTAGTATAAAAATGTATTTTTATACTTTTATTGTCTTTTGCTTTTGCTTGATGGGTTCACTGTTTTATTACTGCTGGGGCGCTAACAGGTGTTACCACCCTGGATCAGTGTGTTGCCGCTAAATATACCGTTTATAGTTCTACTCATTGCTTTAAAATTAGTTTGCTTACTTTTTGTGTGCGAAAATAAAACCGGTAGGTTCAAATTTTGAGCGGTACCTATGTAAGACGTCCATTTTGAAAGTTGATCACTGAACATTGCTCCGTCATAACAGTTTTGGCCGTGGACATGGATTAAAAGTTAGTTTCGCTCATAGAAAAATATTATAAAGGTTTGGTTTCTATCCGGAAGTTTTCTTTTAGTAGGACTTCTCAATTTCTTTACTGGTTGAAAATATTTTCAATAAAATAACAAGAATATATTTTCAAATATGGCCATCCACGACATGTAGCGTTTATTGTAATAAGAAAAAATATAGAATTAAAAAATCCATTAATTTGTCATTTAGCTGATTGATGCCATATTTTGCAATCGTTCGGTCCACTCGTCAGGAGGTTTCAACAATTGATTGCTGCTTTTTTCATTTCCCTTATTTTATCTAAGTTTGATGTAATTAATTTCATGCAAGTGTATGTGTAGGGTTTGTGTACGTGTGTGCATGCGTCGAATGTAGCGCTTAATTCTCCTTTTCATCAATTTCGTTTCTCCTTACGGTCTTTCCCTTTTTCTTTTCCTTCTTTTCTCTCATTCGTCTCTCTCACTAATTCGTCTCTCTCTCTCTCTCTCTCTCTCTCTCTCTATATATATATATATATATATATATATATATATATATATATATATATTATAATTTCTATATATATATATTATATATGTGCGCTATTTATTGAAAGCGCTCAAAATCAGCGATAGAGCTAACATATCCATACTTACTTTTACATACATACATACATATATATATATATATATATATATATATATATATATATATATATATATATGTGTGTGTGTGTGTGTGTGTGTGTATGTATCAAGAGCTAGAACCCCTAATAACTATATACAACCATAGACGCTATGTTAGATATAGACACCTCAGAAATCAAACTTCCTCATTCAAACACTACTGGGATCTAGTGGATAACAGACTAATCCCACTTTTAGAATGGAGATACTTATCAAGAGCTAGAATCCCTAATAACTTCCGCGATCGGTGTGATCTCTGCATGGCGGAAAAAAATTTTATTATTCAAGATAAGAATCAAGATGAATTGCTAAATCTTCGTAATGAGATATTTTCTAAATGTAGACATAAGAAACGATTCAAAACATAAACACCGTTTTATAACATTTTGTCACTTATGTCAGTTCCATCTTGGTTCAATAACATCGGGCATGACATTTTAATGGAATGGCTATTATGTTTATCTCTTATGTTTATCTATATATATCATTGGGTATGTTTTTTGTGATGCGCTATGTATTTTAATTTTTTTTAGACCAAATTTTTTTAAATTTTACTTTTTTAGATTTTACATTTTGATTTATATGTATATGTATATGTGCGTACCTGTGTGTATATGTGTATATATGTAGGTGTGTATATAGGTATATGTATGTGCATGTATGTATGCATATATATATATGTGTGTATGTATGCGTATATATGTATATATATGTATGCGTATATGGATGTGTGTGTATGTAGGTAGATGTGTATGTAAATGTGTTTATACGTGTGTGTGTATGTTTTGGCATGTATGTATTCATATATATCTGTATATGGGTGTATATGTATGTATGTATGTATGTATGTATAATTAGACGGATAGATAAAGAGATACATTGTTTATTTGTTTAGATGGGTGTATGTAATTGTATGGAGATGTAAGGTTTTATGTATGTATGTTTATGTGCACGTATGTGTATGTTCGTATGTATATATGTGTGTAAATGTATATATATGTAGGAGTGTATGTGTATGGATGTATGTGCATATGTATGTATGTATGTGTATGCGTGTTTATGTATGTATATATATGTATGTGTATGTGTATGCATTTGTGTATATATATATATATGTATATGTATATGAGTATATATATACATATATATATATGTATATATGTACATGGGTATATGTATGTGTATGTGTGTACACGCCTATATGTATGTATGTACGTGT